GAAGGGGCTTTTTTAGGGGCGGGTTGAGAAAGTTGGGAGAGTCGAGTGAGGGGAAAGAAGATGGTGAAGGAGAACATAACGGTGAGGTTGGTGGAAGGGGCGGTCGAGGTAGAGGGAGGAGAGGGAGCCGAGGTGGGAGTAACTATAGGAAGGCTCGAGCCATGAGCAAACAGCTTACGGGACTTCCTGCTCATTACAGATGAAGATTTGTGCCCTTCGTTTGTTATGATTGTTATGATTTTTGAGGTTCTCTTTTGAGTATTTTCCTGGGTTGATGATATTTTTGTAACCAGTGTTTGGTTAGATTGGGTTGTCTTTTTCGGCCGTCTTGTGTGCAGCTACTGGATGTTAATCAGAGGGAATTTGGAGAAATATGAAATGCCATTGGATATTGGAATTTTTTCCCTTCTCCACTAAAGAAATACAATTTTTTTTTTATACAATAGAAGGAAATCATTTTTCTATAAAATTAGTTGTTCACTCGCATCTTAACTACCATTGATTTTACTATTTTTAAATCATACTACCTTCTGTTCATTATAAATGTCGTTTTGACTTTTGTGATTCATCCATTTTATTATGTATCTAGACATTAATATGTCTAGATACATAATAAAATGGATGAATCACAAAAGTCAAAACGATATTTATAATGAATAGGAGGGAGTATTAGTTTTCGTTATTTACATTATTATATTACATAAATCACACATAAATATTTTCCAACATATATCTCATGATTTGTTTTTTGCCAATGAATGCAAATCTGTTTAATATGATGGAATTTATTTATGCCCAATAAGATAAAAATATTGCTTTAATAATGTCTATTTATATTTACTTTATCATGGTATATTTAAACCATTCACAATGCTTTAGCTCCAATTTTTTGTACATAGCATATAAATGGACCAAAGTCTTGGATGACATAAATAAAAGCATGTAAAACTACCCAAAGTTTCCCAATGCAGATAGACTGGGTATCTACTTGAGTCTTAAGTTAGACTTTACTGTAGACTGTGACTTTTTCGTACTGTCAGCTCGACTCAGTCTACTTTCAGTTGCATTGGTGAGCATCTTTTTTCCAAAATTTCTCTATTTTCTACATGAAACGTAATTTTTTTTTTTACTAAACCCAAAACATAGTAGAAGCTCTTATATGAGTTTATAAAAGGAAAATTTTTATGTATCCTACGTGATTTTCAACTATTTGCAACTTTACCATACAAGTAAAATTAAATTGTGGCTTTACTTAAAAGACCTTATTTAACTATATTAATGCCTAAGGCTTCTGTGTACTATTTTAAAGTGTTTCAACAAAGTATTTCAACTTCTCTCTCTAAGACATAAAATCCCCAAATTCCCCTCCGAAGATTCAATGCTGGTGGTGGGGGCAGTGCAGTCATGCCCCCACCACCCTTGATTTACACACACATACACACACCCACATGGGTGTGTGTGAAATCAATGTTACAAAAGCCCATGTGGGCACTGCACATATGTGCAGCATCGAAATTTCCATTCCCCTCTTATAACCCTCGTTCATCTCCTAAGTTGTTTCGGCCTTCTCCAGCCGGCTGCCAGCGAACGCCTGGGCTTCTTGACAGTGGCCAACCAATGGTTGCGCGACCCACTCCCAGTGGTGTCGGTTTTCGCTCTCTTGAGTCGGCGGGTTTGGCGATAGGCTACGAGAGGATTTTGCCGTTGGGCGCTTTTTTGGGTTGGTGGTCATCGATCTCCCGGTGGGGAGGCTGAGGCGGGCGCTGGTGCTTCTGATGGGGTGGGTTGTGGCCCCGACCACCGGTTTGTGGTGGTCGGTAGGGGAGAGGAGAGTAAGTTCTTCCCCTTGTTCTATTTGCCTCTGGTGCGTGGTCGAGGGGACGACCGGCATGTCGAGCTCAGATCTGTAGAGTGGGCAGGGCTTGTGGCGGTGGTGGTATGGTGGGGTTGTGGCTCGGTTTCCTCAGGCTGAGGGTGGGGTCGGTTTCTTTGGTGCGGGTTGAGTTCTAGGTTTTAGTTCATGTTAGGCGCGCAAATTGCAGTTTCGAGTTCTGGAGCATGGGGTGAGATCCGACTGTTTGAGTGATCGACCTCTAGTGTTGCTGTCGTAGTTGCTTAGTGTGCTCTTCCCGGCTGTGAGAAGGGCTATAGTTTATTTTTTTGATTGTGTTTGTGTTTTGTAGGTTTTTGTTTTGTGTTTTGTGTTTTGTTTTTCTCTTGTTTTGAGAAGCATGTTATTCTCTTGTGAG